CCTCCTCCCCCCCCAGGCCGCCTGGGGCGCTGGGCGTCTTCCCGGCGGGGGCGGGGCCTGCGCAGCCCAAACCCACCTGCCGAGGTCCCAGGCGCCCAGCGCGCCCTTCGGCCCCGCAGTGAAAGTGGACGCTCTGCTGTGGACAGACGCCGCGCACGCAGGTCCCAGGTGTCGGTCCCACTGTGTCCACCCGTGTTTAAGGGCCACGGAGTGCTCGCCACCTGCGGTGCGGCCGCGAGGAGCGGACCCGTGCGCTCGGCTGTGCCCCTCGGTCTAGTGCTGGCCACAGGCGCTCGTCTCACTTTTCCCACTAGGGTGGCCGTTTCCTATGGGTGGAAGCTCACGGTTTCCTCGCTTTTCGTGACCCTGGAACCTAGAGCACACATTTCCATTTTCCTGTGTAATGGGTTCTCTTCACAGCTGCTCTTAATGGATGTCCTGACAGAGTTTTGTGTTTTCTCTCTAACTACAGGTTTAATGTTGTCATGAGAGTTTGTGGCAAATGCTAATCCAAAACAGATATAAACTAAATACCTGAAATGTGGAAAAGGCTAGATTTTTATTGGCCAAAGTTGTGGATTTCAAAAAGTACCACAAAATAAAACGAGTTAGCAGTTAGCTCAGTAATTCTCAAGCTTCTAAATTTGAGAGTTACAGTATCTCATTTATTTTATCAAAGTTTTGGCAGTCATGTTTTCTCATTTAATTGTTCTCTTTCAAAATTTGTACCAGATTTAGGAGAAGTGCAGATGGCAGATAGATGGTGGCCCGACACGCGTGCAGTCTTCTGTTCTGTCTTACAGGCCATGAGTGTGCCCAGGGCCCGGGGGAGCTCCCAGGCTGGGCTTCTCTGGGCCTCTGGTAGGCCATGGGCAGCGCCAGTTTACAGCCAAGGAGTATGAGGACGTTCCCCAGGTCACACAGTTAGTAGGCAGAGATTCAAATCCAAGTCTTTAATAATAGCAATGATGAGAATATCATAACGTCTGCAGGCTCACCCTCTCCCAGGAGCAGTTCATGGTCTCCTGTGAGCCCGAGTCCTTTCAGGAACGCACTGCGGTAACCCTGGCCCAAGGTTAGCCAGCAGGCGGCAGAGCCAGCGTTGGAACCAGCTCCACGGGCACCCTGAGGAATCATAATTGCTGCGCCTCCCTGCTCCCTCTGCCTGGCTCTCACGCCTTTCTCCAAAGCCCAGCACTGGAGGCCAATGAAAGGGGAATTTCCAGTGTGAGAACTGTCATGTGTCCAGCTGTGTAATGCTGGGTCGCTGTGCATGTGCCTCAATTTCATGTTTTCCTTTCAGGTGGGTCTGTTGGACCTGGAACTCAATCAGCTGACCAAAGCACTGTTCCTGGCGTTAGTGGCTCTCTCAGTTGTCATGGTAACCCTGCAAGGATTTGTAGGCCCCTGGTACCGCAATCTCTTTCGATTCCTCCTCCTGTTTTCCTACATCATTCCCATCAGGTAGGTTGAAGAATTAAGGTAAACAAATGTCTGGTTTCATCAAATACGCTTTTATTGAAATGTATTTCTCGATGTGAATGAAACTGTCCACACAAAGCTCAGAGGAGGGAGCCAGGGGCTGGTGAGTCCCAAGGGTCCTCCGCAGAAGGTCGTGTTGGGAGGGCAGGAGTTTGTTAGAGCAACCTGGAGACCTGGAGTTTTATCTCATGTAAGTGTGTTGATACTATAATCTTTAACAACTGGGAGATATAAACATAAGACATAAACCTGAATCCAACAAGATAGCCTTTGTGCACCGCTGATAGACTTCTTATTCTAGCGCCCTTCGGTCTGTGTGCAATCACTGACATTTTAAAGTTATCTATATTTCAGAGGCCACCTAATACAGCTGTCAGGTTAGATAAAATATTAAGTAAGGCAGTCTTCTAATATGAACGATTTTTCATGATGATAACTCACCTAACTCAGGATTGGGATATAAATAGTTAATATTAGGTGCCTTTAATTTAAAGACTAATATTTATAACAAATGTAGATAAGTCCATTCTAAAATATGTCCACAGGGGATATTTTTAAAAGATAACCTTAATATATATGATTAAAAATTTTCATATGAATGAGCAATTAAGCCCTAATAACTCATGCATAAAGTACAGACCCAGAAAAGCTATCTTGTGTCTCAGAGAGTAAATTAAACCATGTACAGTGTTAGGCACAAGGCATAAGCATTTGGGGAGAAAGGCGTGTCTTTTTCACAGATCAGCTTTCTCTCAAAGTCTGTCTAAAGGAATGTCCACCTTCACAGAAGCGGGGGGGCTGTAGTCCCTCCCTGGACTCTGCACACAGAGCTGTTATTGCCAGCCCCCTCGCTTCTCTAGCTGCCAGGGTCTCCTGCACTCTCTCTGGAGCCAACAGCTTTTCTTGGGAATTCCCAGGTGTTTTCTCTTGGTTGCTGCTGCTATCTGGCCTGCAGTGCTGTGATGTCACCTCCACTGTGGGCTCTGCTGCCCACACGGGCGGCCCGGGAGAGCTCTGCCCTGCTCCCCTGGGCCTCTCCCTTCATGGTGGAAGCCACTAGAGGGAATGTTTTATTCTATGGACTGTCTCCAGTTCCTTCCTTCCTTCAGTAAAATAATAACATAAAGAGGCTTGACATTATCTCCTTTGTCAAGTTAGCAGAAAAAAATTGATTAGAGGTATGAAAGTTAATACATAAGCATTTTAAAACTAAAACTAATTTTTATTGTTTTTTAATATTTCAATCATATATATTTATAGTAAGAAATTAGACAGTATCTAATAATAGGAGAAGGAAGTAAGTGCTACCTCACTAACTGTTGAAAAACTCTGTACAGGCCTCAGATGTTTGCGTGAAGACCTGCAGACCTGAGGGTGCAGGTACACACACACACACACACACACACACACACACCCTTCAGGTACACACACCGGCACACACACACGCTCCCTTCCTGTAGTCTATGCCTCCTCTTCAGAAGTCTGCTCACGAAATGGGGAAGGTGCCTGGCTTTCTGAAGTCTGTCTTGTTCCAGTTTTTCAGTCCACAGTTTAATATTCAACTTGCTCAGTCGAGTTTGGGGAGACTTACGAGACAGAATTACAGCTGCACCTCCATTTGGCTCCAAAACGTCATGCGGGTGCTTCACCCTGAAACTTCTGCCCCTCAGTCTGAGAAGCAGCTGGACAGACTCCACTGAGGTTAAGGCCTGAAGCATGGAAAGGGCGGCCCACCCTTTAGGGGGCGAAGGCTGTTTTCTTCTGCAAAGTTTCCATAAACCATGAATAATGATACATTATAGTATTTGCTAAATATGCTTTTCAGTGTAATAAAGGGTAGATTTAAAAATATTTATTGTTTTGCAAACTGCTCCTTTCTGGAAAGTGCTTTTTTTCCTTGCTGACCTAACACTCCTGAAGGCTTTTCCAGTGTAATAAAGCAACGCTGTTTCATAGACACTCTTCCTTACGGAATAAGATACAACTTACTTTCTCTTTCAAGGGAAGCATTACAAGATTTGACTCTCACTTTCGTGACTAAAACACATACGCATTCCCCGAGTACTGTGTCCCTCACGACCGTCCAAGTTCTTTATGGGACATTTGGTTCCGTCAGGCTCCCCGTCTTGGTTGCTGCCCCTTTGCCCACATGCTGTGAGGTGCATTAATGTCCTAGCTGAGAGCACATCCCTCTCAGGTGTGACCCTGGGGGCAACAGGCACAGTGGGACTGTCCACATGGCGTCTGTCTGAGGCACTGAGGCTGATGGTGTCAGTGCCTTGGAGGCAGCGTCCTCTCTCTACCATAAGGTGGGCCTGCCAGCGAGGTGCACACACGCCCATTCTGCCCCCCAGCCCACCACCTGAAGGACCACAATGCTCTGCTTAGAGCTGCCCTCATCTTCCCACTGAGAGTGGATATTGAACATGTAGGGTGACACGGGTGCAAAACTGACTTCAGAATTTACCTTCCCTGAAGTTTTATTGAAGGAAAATTCTTAGGAGCTTATTGTCAACGTATTTACAGGTAACTTGCCCTTTCTGTGGTGTTTTAAAATTTGTGTTAACCTGCCTGACACCTTTGGTTAGGCCTCGTTTTCCAGGTTAGATGCTCGTGGGAAAGAGTGTTTTCAGCCTTACTTAGCCCTGGGGTGATACTGAGGTATTGATGGTCTGGGAAGCATGTGGACTGCTAAAGGCACTTATCGTAGAGGATTCGTGTTTGGACAGCGTGACCAGGAGCAGAGGCCGGGGTGCGTTGGGTGGACAGCCTTTGCCGAGGAGACTCGGGGTCCATTGAGCCATCTCCGCAGAGGCCAGGCCTGGAGGGTCATCCAGAAGAGACCCATGGGGCCCTCCTCGCCTGAAAGCGAGGAACAGACAGGACAAAGCAAGAAGCCGTTGACTCCCCAAATCCACAGGCACAACGTGGGCTGCTGGAGCAGCCAGCTGCAAGCGTGTGCTGAGGGCGAGACGAGGGCGAGCCCGCACCATGCGGCCACGAAGGGCTGCTGGCACTTTGGTTATTTGTGCAGTTCTTTACATGCTCTGCGTGTTAGCTCTCCTCCAGTCCCACGCGTCTCTGAGACTCTTTCTTCATCTGTGACTTGAAGTTTTACTCACCCAGTGGTGGAACCAGAAAGAGAAGCCATTCATTGCACAGCCACTTGTGTGAATGTGTCGGGGTCGCTCTGTTTAAGGAACCCTTCCCCACCCCAGCTGTGAAGTATCCTCCTGCATTAACTCCTACATGTGGACTGGTCTTGGCTCTGACCCCTGGAAGGTTTTTTTAATGGTGTGAAGTAGATTTTCACATTATTTTTGCACACCAACTGTCTTAGCACCCCTACAGAGAAGACTCTGGTCCCCCATCATGTGCCAGGTGTTCATGGGGGGCACAGGTCTGTGGGTCCCTGCCCTGTTCCCTTGGCCTGCATGTCGGTTCCTAATCGAGTAACAGACTGCCTCTTCACACACCGAGGTAGCAGGTCTCTAGGGGACAGCAGCCTTCCTCGTGTCCCTCAATGCTGTGCTCGCCGTGGCCATTTGCATTCAGTGTGAACTCTGCCAAACCATGAGTCAGCCTATCTCCTAGTATAAAAATCTCTCCATAGGAATCTTGTACAATTTTTGTTAAACTATTTTTAGATACTTGATATTTTAAAAATGCTATTATAAATACTGTTTTTTGAAAGAACTATTTCCTATGTATTGGTTGCTGGTTATAGACAATAAAATCGATTTTTATAAAATGATTAAATCCATCCATTTTGGTAAACTATCGATTAATTATTAATCTGAGTCTATTGGGTTTTCTGTGTAGGTCATCACATCATCAGTAAATAACGACAGTGTTGTTTCTTCTGATCCCTCACACCATTCCTTTCTCTCCCTGTCACTCACGGAGCCTCCAGGGCAACAGGGAGCAGCAGTGGTGACTCTGCATGTTGTCATAGAAACCCTTTCCTATGTCAAGCAAATCTTTCTTAATTTGTTAAGTTTTTAAATCATGAGTATAGTTTTAAGACTCTTTCTACTAAATCTATTGACGTGAATTTTCATCTTTACATTTTTCTTTTTTAATATTTTACTAGGATGAACTTAATTTGTTGACTTTCTAATGTCATACCTACCTTGTATTTGGTGGAGAAAATACAGCTTGATCATGGTATAATACTCTGTCTTGTATCATTAGATTTCACTTGCTTGTGCTTTTTGTGAAATTCTTGCATTGGTTTACACAAGTAAGGTTGACTTGTAACTGCCCTTTTCATTTCATTCCTTTGTGTTTAGTGTCAAGATTTTGCCAGTCTCATAAAACACACTGAGTCTTTTAGTTTCTCTTCTCTAACATATTTTATTTAAAATTACAAAGTATTTATTCTTTGGACATTTACACATTGGGGAGGCCATGTGAGCCTGAACTTTTCTCTATGGAAAGATGTTTTACAGGGTTGATTTTTTTTTTTTTTTAATATGTCTATTGATTTCAGAGAGAGAAAGGGAAAGGGGGAGAGAGAGAGATAGAAACATCAATGATGAGTCATTGATCGGCCGCCTCCTGCACGCCCCCTACTGGAGATCGAGCCCGCAACCCGGGCATGTGCCCTGACCGGGAATCAAAGCCAGATCTCCTGGTTCACAGGTCAGTGCTCAACCGCAGAGCCACTCCAGCCGGACAGAGTTGATTTCTTTAATAGTTTAAATATATTTCTTAAATAGTTACCATTTAAATAGTTAGAAAACTTGATTTCAAGTTTTTAATTTCTTCTTAAGTCAGTTTTACAAAGTTATGGCTTTCAAGAAACATGTCAACTGCACCTAAATATTCGAGTTTATTTACAGAATCTGCTCATAATGTTTCCCTGGTGCCTCCCCCAGAGAGAATCCTCTTCATTCCTGATACTCAGCTCTCTTACCTTTTCTTTCAGTCCTCCAGTAGGTTTGCCAGCGTCAGTCGTTTCGGAAAAGCCCCCATTGGCT